AACACCACAAAGCACCAGGGGGAAGGGGGTTGCCCAGCAGGAGCCAGTGGAAGGAGGGTGAGGGGGGAGAGGGGGAGGCTGGAGTGGCTACTCTGATCAGGATCCATTTCCAGCCTGGGCCTTGGAATTCCTTTGTTCCTGTCACAGGTCTCCGTTTCCCCCTCGCCTTAATCCCAGCCTGCCTCACGCCCAGCAACACAGAGCAGGGCAGGTAACTCTGCCACAGGCATGCCTCTCTATTTACAGACCAGTCCCCACATAACAGCCACTCACATAAATAGTAATAACTGTGGTAGCCCTGAGTAGAACCAAGGTGGGTTAATACAGGTTGTCTAGTTGGCACTACAAACGTACTAACCGTGTCTTCAGGAAAGTGCTGTGAACTGTCACAGTAGGAGGCTGAAAGGCTGACATGTATTCATTCTCCTTAAAATGGACTTCCAGCACACAATGGCTATATTTGTGCACTTTGTACACAGAAAGTCACATTTTGACAGAATCGTTTTTCCAAATTTGATAAACTGTTATAGCCTGGGTCTGTGGGCCTTCAAAGAGCCTGTGAGGCCAAACAAAGCTAAACCCATGACAGGGCAGTGCAAAAATTAACCATCTCCCTTTCTGTCTTGAAACATCCTCCGCATTCTTCATCGGGAGGGAGATGGTCATTCGTAAACACATTCTCCAACAGTAAAGCTATCCAGCAACACTTGTGCTTTTCCCGCAATGGCTGTGGCCAGGCTGCCTTAAGCCCCCTTCATAGGGCTGCCAAGAGGAGTCAGTGGTACACTGTGCAGCACTCGCAAAGCCCTCTCCCACGGCTATTAGTGACCATTCATCTGGGGAGCCTGGGAAAATGCCTCTCCAGCCTGCCGTGGCCATGGGGAAACGGGCTGGCAGGTGTTCCCTCCCCCTAAGCCCTGGCACCTGTGCAGGGAGAGGAAGAAGGAACCAGCTCTGCCATGGGCTAAAACGGACTCTGGGTACCACTGTGCCAAGGCTCCTCCAACTCCTCTGACTGGTAGAAAGACTCTGAAACGAACCAGGCTAAACAATACCAGAGCTCTGCCTCAGATAGAGAGATCAATGTGGTTGTATCAATACTAATAGCAGGCGTAAGACATCTGGCAATGTGCTTTGGCAGTTTGAAATGGCATGTTAACTAAATCCGTGTAAAATGGGCCTTCTCCGTTTACACTCACAAATACATACACCATTATGGACTACAACATCAATATCCCCTTGAGGTAAAACAATACTAAACGACCAAGAGCAAAAGAAAAATCAAGATAACACACAATCAGCAGTGTAAGTAAACACAATCTAATCTGAAGAAAAAAAGTAGAAGTGTATTAGTAATGTCTGGCAAACAACCTCTTGGGCAGTCTGTACAGCATGTTGTGCCGTCAAAGGCCAAGTCTGAAATGAACAGATCTTCAGTCTAGTTGGGACTGACCAATGTTCAGCATGTTTACAATCATTGGTTTTGTTATTTTTCTGACTGCTGATAAAACAAATTACTGTAAAAACTTTGGATCTGAGGCAACTCTCTCTGTCTGTATTCACCACCCTGTAGTCTCAGTGTCCCACCTACAGCACTATCTAATTGGTTGTCATGTGCAACAGTAGAGGAAATATGTTTTTAAAGATGAAGTGGAAAAGTGTGCAAAAGCATTGAATAAACATATGTTTAAAGAACTCAGATTTCTCACTTAAGTAAAAGTAGCAACCACAGTGTAAAAATACTTAAAAGTAAAAGTCCTGCATTAAAAATCTTACTTAAATAAAAGTAGAAAGCATTCACATCAAAATATAATCAAAGTACCAAAATGGCCCAAAGTGCAAAGTAACTAGTAACTAAAGTTATCAAATCAAGTAAAAAAGTCAAAAATGTGCCTCTGAGATGTAGTGGAGTAGAAGTATAAAGTACTGTAAACACTTTAATATAGTTAAAGTAACTAGAAACTGACATATTTAGTACCTGAGTAAATGTACTTAGAATAACCAGTGGTGGAGTATAAGTCTAAGCCTAAAGATTTTCATGTTTACTGCAAATATATATCAGTTTCCTTGATTACTAATAATTGATATCTGTATCGGCTCAGAAAAAAACATATCGGTCGATTCCTACTTTCTCGGCCTGTTTTCTGCAAAGCAGTGGCATCTTCATGACAAATGTGACACTCTTGCTGTCACAGAGCATAACCACCAGCTCCCTTACTCAAATATCGTATCAAATGACAAAAATGTATTCCTCAAAGCACAGAGAACCTATTATCCACTCATTTTCGATCTGTAATTACTCTGAGAAATGTGGGTGTGTTCAACACGGTCTACCAGGGAGAATGCAAGAGGCCTCTCCCAAGCTCCCCTTCCCTGGGCTTCTAAACGTCTAGCATGTCCATTCTCCTTGTCCAGAGCCAAGATGTTTGGTGGGAAAAGTTCCCTCTGTTCATCTCTCTAAAAACATAAATAAATCACATCACTATGAGCTAATCATGAAGTCTCAAGTAGCCTGGGTAAAAAAAAAAGGAAAATGAGGTGGGGGCTGGGGGTTGACAGTTGGACCTCTGCAGCTGAGATTGGAAGAAATGGCTTGGATTTATGTTGGCAGAAGAGATGGGATAAGCCTCTCTCTGACATATTCACTGGGTGCTATAAACACACACACACACACACACACACACACACACACACACACACACACACACACACACACAACACAGCATACATACATAAAATTACAATAACCCATAGAGATAACTCAGACACAAACACTTGCACTGAAGGACCTTGGAATGTAAAAAGCTGTTGATGGCTCATTTGAAGTGCCAACAGCTGAGGCTGTTACGCTGTTCTTACTGCTGTCTGTTGGCGGAAGCCCCTGTGATTTCACACTGGCACCAGCTCAAACACCAAGACCCACAATCCCCCTCCCATACCATCCCACACATAGCCCCACACTCCAACCGCCTATTCTTGGCCCAGACATCAGTGTTACCCCCCCGCCTGACACCTTTCTCTATAGGCAACAACATGCACGTGTTCCAGCACATACACATGTCTCACACCAGGATATCCAGCTTAATTCTGCTCTCAAATAACATAATGCTGCACACACACACACACAGATGTAAATAGGTCTTCTGCTGAAACAGATACACGCAACAAAAAAAAAAAAAAAAAACTGCTTCCATTCACTGCTACGGACAGTCAGAAAGTCCTGTGAGGATTAGCAGGTTAGCATTTGACCTGCATGCAGAATAGACGACCCCTGTACTTAATACCCACCCTGAGGTTTGCTGGGCTTCTCTCCCTAAGCCTATAGTCTGTCCTCCCCTTTTTATGGCTCCTGCCTGCCTGCTTACTTCTCACAGTCACAGTCTCCACCTTTACTGCTCTGCCGCCTCCCTCACATGGGACAATGAAAAGACCAAGAATGTCATTACACTCACTTAAGACCTTTAATAGGACTAGAGCACATGAACTGTGTAGGCCTGTTTTAGGCGTTATACCTTTTCATGTTCTGAAAGGGGAAAATTCTCCGATATGGTACGGAGTCATGTTCCACTGGTTACATTCTTTTTGGCAAAGCTGCAAGGAGCTTAATCATTTTTACATGCATATTTCACTGCTGAAATACTGATAGTCCCCTTGTTCACACAGTGGAGCGAATGTGTGCGCGAAAGTGTGTGTGTGTGTGTGTGTAGAGCCTCAGTCTGTGATCTCCATCGTTAGAGTTGTCTGTCTCTCCTCAGTCTGTCATAGGCAATATGAGACAGGCTTTTCAGTAACTTTACACTGTCAACCTGTTCACACGTAGCCCAAAGGGAGGATATACCTCTCCTACACACTGTCGCTCCTTCTGATTCTCATTGGTTCTGACGTGTATGAGCGCCTGTGTGCATGCATGTGAGCGTGCATGTCTGCTTATGAAGACTGTATGTTTTATGAAGAAAATTACACATTTTGAATGCATGTGTGTATGAAAACAATGCACACATGGACACGCAGTTTTAGTGGATAAGAAGACTTAAATGGAGTGGCGTGAGAGGCAGAGCTGCAGCCACAGAAGAAACTTTATGGGGCCGACTGCCCTGTAATCCCACTCTCACAGTCAGGCCTGCCCTGCTGAGTGAGCCCAGCTTAACTGCCCTTAACTGCTACCTGTGACAAACCTGTCTGCCTTACAACATGCAGCAGGGGTTCTTCTGCAGCTAAGCTTACAGTGCTTTAAAGGCATGTGTGTGGGTGGCTGGAGGAATGTACTCACATTTGATAAATAGGGATGTATGGAAGTGGAGCATCATTTATTGATTTTTCTCTCTGTGTATGTGGTTGTATGTGGATATGTGTCAACTGCTTTTGGTTAGCTAAAAGTACAGATAAACACAGGTGTGTCAACACTACATTAAACAGAAGTGTAACAAACATTAGCCATTTTAATGGACTTACGTTTTGTGCCAAGTAAAACAGTGCAACACAATATAAAAACTCCTATCAGTGCTTGACTTCAGGTCACACCCTGGGCGTAGAGAGCCACCGTGTCCCAACTAGTTATGTTGTCTTTCCTCCCACACTCGCCTCAAAAAGGTAGCCATGGAATACTTTTTAGACTCTTTTGTAACTTGGTTCCCATCCTCATCAGAGCTCAGTGGTCCACCTCCATGCACACAGCCATATCCAAGCGGATAAATAATGGTTTTGAGTTCATTGCCAAAGTAAACCATTTTACTTATTCAAGAGTTGATGACAGACATACCTTAGACAAGGAAAGGGAAAATGTAGATGACTACATTCCAGAGGAATGAGCAACAGTGAAATCTAAACAAAATAAATACATATCACTTATACTCATTACCAAATAACAATTTCAACTAATGCTCCAAGTAAACACATGATAAACCCAATAATGAATCACAAAGCAATAAATTACATCATAGTAAATACTGGACTATTTGGCTCTAGTGCAGTGTAATGAGAGTCACTAGATGGTGTGTTACCTTTCACAAAAAAGGCTGAAGCAGGTGCCAGCTCCTTCTTCTGTTTGGGCTGTCTTTTAACATGGAGGGACTCTGTGTACTGCTTAACCCTCTGGTCCACAGCATCTCGAACCAGGGCTGTAACTTCCTACAAACAGTATGCAGATATTTTAGTACAGCAACACGCTGTTGAACGGCTGAGAGGGCTCAAGTTTTTGATGATCAAGTAAAAGGCCAGGAAGGCAACTCCACAAGAGGCTAGGTGGAGGGATGAGAACAGTTTTGTAACAATGAAAACCCCTAAGAAGAATAGACAGAAGGCTCAAAGTCATTTCAGATTCCACGCTGCTGTCTTTTGAAAAGGCCCCAAGCAGAACAGAAGCCATATATTCACTCACACACTTTTTCACACCCACGCCCTTCTCCCTGTGTCTGTACCTCGATGTGGTCCGTAGTAAACCAGCTGGCGTCCTCTTGGCTGCCCAGGGGCAGAACGTGGAGATCCACCAGCACAGCAAAGTTCCCACACTGTAACACAAAGAGGAAGGACAGCCACAGGTTGCTGAGGGGCATTGAACTCACAGACAACAAAGGAAATCAGAGTGTGGGTGATTGACAGCGAGACAAACCACGACGACCCCCTGTGTCCTCAAACATCACCCCAGGCCTCTCACAGCAGTCCTCCTCCCTCCTGTTTCTCTGTCTAGCCATCTCTTTACCAATCTCTTTACAAAAAGGTATGGCCCTGTCTGTCTCCTCAAGTTTCTCTTATCTCAGCATAAAAACTATTTTCTCCTTCAATAAACTTTGCAATGCAGTTACTGCCTCAGGTCACAATAGGCTGCATAGGAAAGTCTAAATATGTACCACATAAATGAGGATTATCCTACTTTGTATCAGAGTGGTGATAAAACTCTGCAGATCTACCCTAAAGCGCTACATGTTTCTGCACTTCTGCACTATAACTTTTGAGTGCTATAGAAAGCTGAGTAGAGGGCTGCAGAGTAGATTCCTAAAGCACTACGTCATTGTGTCAATGACAATAAGCTACAAGGGACAGGGAGGCCAAAAATGCCGCGGCTGGTTAAGTTGCTGTTACATCTTTCTCAGGCTAGCCTGATTATGGTTTACACATGAGTGCAAAAGCTGCCCACTGCAGAGAGCAAATGGATGTGGGTCTCGTGTGAACTTCGCCTCTCCATGGACAAGGAAGTAATGGATGGACTGAGACCACCCACAACATGACACAGAGGAGCAACAAGTACTGCCCTAAAACCCAGAGTGATAATGCAGCAAAAAGCATTGAACTGAGTGGGGTAAGAATAACACATAAAGACAAAACCAGGCACAGATTTCAGGCTCACTGTGTAGAACTGGAAAAGAGTGCATACAAACAGAAGAAGTTATTCATTTAGTAACTGGGAATACTTGTGCAGACTAAAATCTTTGTTTTGAGCCAGGCTTGTCTCCCTGGGCTGAAGTATTGCAGACAGAATGACTAAATTCTACAACCCAGACTTGAGGGATGTTCGTACGGCCTCGCTCTCAGGACGACGCGAGAGAAATTAGCAGGGTGTGCAGGGGAAGGCCCCCGCTACTTAGGTCCTAATTCTAGACACAAGCCTACACTTCCCAACTCCAAACTCTCTCCAGTTGTGTCTTCCTCTTGTTTAAAAAGGAGGTAGTTCCTTCATCAAAAAAAGGAGGTTGAGAGAGTTTTATTCACCGTCAAAGTTGGGCCCGGGAACCTTTCATCAAGTGACATTAAAAGGCTGAATGCTGTCTTTAAGCAAATCGAGCTGCAAAAAATTCTCCTTTTCCCCCATGAGAGCATTTTCCTTTCTCATTGTTTTTGTGCAAATAATAAGTACAGTGAGACTGCTTCCTTATTTTTACTTGCAGATCAACTGGAGTAGAGGGCGCCACCATATGACTAATCAGTGAAGGTTGTAATCACTTTCAGTCATAGCTTGCACTGTTCTTCTGCGGGACATGTCAAGTCCTAAATCCCGAATGTGTGCCAGCTTGTACCTAAGAATGTCTGTGTTGCCAAATCAAATGGGAAATAAATGTTATTTTAAGTCTCTTATAAAGGCAACACATTAATCTTTGATCCACTGACTCATCACTCCATATCCTGAAAGATGTGAGAACACCACATAAAAGTCCAAGCATCGAGATGTGATAACCACAAATAGAAAATTCTCTGTGCAGAAATATGAACAAAAGTTGTTATACAAAAACATGCTTTCACAAAGAAAAGAATGCCATGGACCAGAACAGAGCCCCCCTTGTATGCAAGCTCCTCATGTATAAAATGTGTGCACGTTGCCTGTCAGTATCAACTCATCCCTACAGATCAGTATTCTCTCCATCCTCTGCCCTTTGTCTCACAGCGGTCCACGGATGACTGGTGGCCTCAGCTGACTGCCTCCAACAATTACCAGTGTGTGGGAAAGCCTAGCAACAGAGGGTCAGACCTTGTCAATCAAATACCAGGGACGGACTAGTGGATGAGCCCCACAGTGGTTTCTTGGGGCTGTGCTTGACACACGCTGGATGGGTTTTGGTATCCTGACTTTAGTGTCTGACTTTTGAGAGATGACAGTTGGGTAGAGGAACTATGTTACACATATAAATCCTGTGAAACTTAAAATGTTTTTTGTTTTTGTTTTTGTTTTGTCAACCTGCATGTGTGTAAATGCTGACGGGGACCACAAGATCAATCTTCTAAGGTACCTGATGTAAAATTACACGAGCTAATGCAAGCTCTAAAGAGTGACTTGATCAATATCCTGGAACAAACAGAGCAGTATAGGGAGTGCGGTCCTTATGGAGAGAGACAGCAGGATGAATCCACTAAAGTGGTTTTCTGAGATTCTGATTGAGTCTGTGTTTTGGGCTGAAAGCCAGACATCTAGCCAGCCTTAGACTAGCCTTTTATCACATTAGAGCAGCAGACAAGACTCAACTAGGAACTGGACATTAACGATAAACACTGGTCTGCCCCTTACACAAAAACAGCATGTGATTCCCTGGGTTTCTCAGAAATTGGGGGATTTTGTCAGGAATGCAAACTAATGCAATCACACTAATAAGAAAACAATTAATTTGCCTAGAGAAACTGGCGGCTTGTTGGAGGCAAAGTTCCTGCTGAAGTGTCAATCTTTGAATGGAGGCTGTGCTGTGTCTAGGAGCTAGGGGAGTTTTTACAAAGGGCATTTGTGTTGAGTGTGGCAGATAAGACAAAAAAGCAGTAGAATCTAATTTTACACAAAGGCTCTGACTACAATCACATCATGTGGTCTAAATTTGTCAACTCCCAGCACAAAGAGTGACCTGTGGATCTCTGAGCTGAACTCTGTCATGAACTATGACCTCCACGTATCCCCCCTTAAAACCCAGCTATGGCCCCTCTTCGGTAAGATCTCTGCAAGCGGCCTAATACTTTGTGGATGCAGTAATACAGACCACAAAAACCTTGTCTTAAGCCAGATAAGCCGAAAGTACCTGAAATCCTTTATGCCCAAAAAAAACAAAAAACAAGATGAACAAATTCAAAACAGTCCTCTCAGCAATACACATATAGCATTCTTTATAACACCATCTCTACAGGATCCTAAGCAGGACCCTACAGGATTTAATTAACCTGATATTCATTTATCAAATTCATGAGCTATCCTATTTTGTGTACTTTGCTTTGACACATTTAAGGCAATACTCTGAGCAACTGTCGCTGTTGTTGAAAAAGAAAGGTTTGATAAAGGGCCAAGTTCTAGAGGAAGTTACTCTTTTCATACATACTAAAGTGGGCCAGTACGGCTTTGTTCTCTGTCTTGCACAGGCTTTTTAGAGTTATGAACAGAGGCTGAAGGCTGAATGAGAGGCGGCAAGGAGCGCTACTTAATACCAAATCCTTTATTGTGCCATCTTTTGTGTGCTGTCACACAGTGAATGAATGGGACCGAGTCTTCCTGCAGGCTAAGCTCAACTTCTCTATCCTAATTCTCCGCACTGCCAATCTGATATCCATGACCTGCAGGGGAAAAAAGGGTTAACAAAGACAAAAACATTAGAAACATTTGAGACCGAAGCTGCTTTACATAGTCCACAGCACAACATGAGAAAATTCCTTCATATTTTCTGTCTGTAAATAAACAAATCCTGATTCAGACCCACTGACAGCTCCTTTCCCTTTCTAGTGTTCAGGGCTCTGGTCTATATCACTCTCAGTTCCCAAAACACTCTCTACCTTCCCTTATCTCTCTCCCAGACCCAGCTCTCCATCCTCCCGCCTGTGTTGGCACGGGGCCCAAACTCTTGGAGCAGCTTCACCCGCCTCCCCACCTCGCTGCCCTTTGCCATTGCTATCGCGCCGTATAAGAACCAGACCTTCTCGGACTGCACTTAGCTTAGAGGCTAACACTAACCAGCCACAGATGTTTACATTGGGAGTGAAGGGGCAGCAGATGCGGTCTCACTCAATAAAACTTGCATCTCTCCCACTCTCCCTTTGTGTCTCTCTTTTCCTGACTTTCTCTCTCTTTCTGCAAGTCTGCAAAGAACCCAGGGGAGCTCTTTAGATCTGTGGGTGTGACAACCTTGCTCTCAGACTTTATTTGCCTTATTTCCAGCTCTTTCTGTGCTGTGAGTCACCTGGGTTTCCCCTTAAAAAAAAAAAAAAAAAAAAAGAAAAGACAATACTCTCTTCCAATTTTTCAAACTGCCAGATACTGAGCGGCGAAGTGAAGCTTGAGACGTGATTATTATTGAGGCGAATGTTATTTACAGATAGTGCGCGGAAGAGTTTTGTGTGCAAAGCTCCCTTCATTCAGGTGAATGTTAGCACACCTGAGTCCTCTTTATTTGATGATAAAAAGAGACACAACCCAAGAGTGGAATTCCAGCAGCAAGAACAGACAGGAATATCTCCAGGTAACACTCAGCAAACAAAACTCAGGCAGACACATCCTTGAGAAATTGGTAGATGGAGAGAAATAGCAGGCGGAGCAGTGCTCGACCTCATTAGGAAATGTGAATTATGTACGGCAATGTAGGGCAGTGCTGAGATGAAAGCACTTTTTTTTTTTTTTTTACCCATGTCACCTTCTCTTGTGAAAGATTCCCTAAGTTGGAAAGTGTCAAAATGTTTCTAATCAGACCGCAATGATTTTGTACAGAGGCATGATGTGTGGTCTGATATGAGCTCATCTACACAGTGACAACAACACTAAACAGCACATAAACCTCTGACATTAAACTGCTCTGTGATACCTCAATCTTTTATTCTCAAAAAACTCTGTCTCAACCCACTACATTAGATGGTTAGAAAGTCAGCAGTGCATATTGCTAATAGAAGGCAGATTGCAGAGCTCCGCAGTGGTAATGTCCTGGCAGACAGCAAGCGCTTCAGTGGATCAGTGTTTTAGCCTGCAGGCCCTTTTCGGGAGGTCTGAGAAGTGGCAGGTCACTATATAGTCTAAGCCTATTTAAGAAGGAGCATACCAGCACCTCCTGCAGTTCCACAGACCAGGGAGGGGGCTGCTTTGAAAACATCTTAGGAGAAAGAATCATAAAACACACTGCTGAACAGCCTACTAAACATGGCATGTTGAATCCAAGAACATAACTCATAATTGCTTCAATAATCCTTTGCACTCTGCGCAAGCTGGCAAACAGAATTTGCAACATGCCCTTTATGAAAACAATGTCTCTGTTTGGGTAATTGTTCTTTAATATTCTGAGAAGTTAATCAATTCATTAAAAAACATGGTGGTAACGGTGTTTGTTTTGCGAAAGAGGAGCCCTGGGTAGCGCCTTGAATGCTATTGTTTGGACTGATCCCTTCTAACATACTTGTTTGTGGGTAGTCGGTTAAGCATGGTAGAGGCAGTGTGCATTTTCTCAGGCAGAGTAATACAACAGGATCATTATGTGCCCAGTGGGAAGGAACCTTCCATGAACCTCCAGGGTTTTACTCTCCCACAACCAGCTGAGGGGGGTGATGGGGTAGCCTGTACGCAGGCATGCATATGAAACAAATAAAGGGAGTGAATGCAATATCTGGTCAACTAGGCACACATGGCATTACGGAGGATGTGAGAGATCAGCGCAAATGTCTGCAGCCCTCGTCCAAAACTCTCAATAAATGAAACATCAACAAAAGAGAGACCAGTGGCTTTTCTTGCACTTAACAAAAACATCTGATGTGCATTATTCCTGACAGAGCATCAGACTGAGGATGAACAGCTTGGCTCTTTGGTAGAATGAGTTTCCTCTGCTCTGTATGGCTGTGTCCATTAACAAAAGGCTCTCGGGGAGGCAGTCAGTTGAGATTTGCAAAAGGTGACCAGAAACTCTGAATAACGAGTTCTAAGGAATGAATAACAACATCAGAATGTGGAGGCGAGAGAGCTCAAACGTGTATCTGTACTTCCCCCTAGTGGCCAAAGAATTTGTTCTTGAGAAGTACAAAACAATGGCTATAGCGAAGCCAACAGGGAGGATGTTGAAACAGAATATTAATAGTGTAAATGTTGCATAGTAAGCAAGCATATATTCCTGTTTGCATATTTTCCACACTGAACAGCTTTCCAGTGGTTTAACATAGACCATAATAACTCAAGCCTCTTGCTGGAAGTAGTGTCTGTAGCAGTTCTACTGTTTGGCAATAACACAAACATAGTTGTTTACCATGAACGCTGACAAAAGCTGAAAAGCTGTAACCGAATGCAGATTTGTTTTATTCTTTAGTATCTCGTGTGCATTTTACGTGAGGAAACATTTTTAAAGTAATTATGGGGATTTGTGGTCACCCAAAAGCTCATTTGCTTAGAAACAAGAGATTTTCCAACATATGTGCACGTTCACAAGATACTAAACTTAACCTAACCTTTTACTTGTTTACATGTGTTCTTGCCAAACTGGACACACAAAACTTTATAATAAACAGGTTATAAGCTCTAACCTACCAGTCACATGGGCACAGCATTGAATAAAGTTTGCTGAGGAAGGTCTGGAGCAGATATCATTCAAAAACAAAAACTTGGAAGGTCATAAATAACTTGAACAAAACACTTTAAAACAGACACATATACATGTTGAAATAAACACAACAATTAATATTATATGTTCTTCTTGAAAAAGATTGACTTTTATATGCAGTTTGAGTTTGTTCCCAGCGTTCAATAGTTGTGGAGTAAACATTAAACGTTTTAATATAACACAAATACTGCTAATAATGCTAGATTATTTGAATGCAGCGCTGTCTGTATACTGTATCATTTATTTCTCACTTACCTTAATGACAAATTTGATTGGAGCCATCTCTGTGAGTTTCACCTGAAACAAGTGTAAAGTCCTGGATTAAAAACAAAACTCCCCAATGACCATACACCGTAGATAACATGTGATATTAAGTTTACTAAGATAATAACACTAGCTGTCTTATCTCATACTATTATTTATATCACTCTTATTCACCTACCTCATGTACATAAAGAAACCTGCACGTTAAATATTCATGCCAACATCCTTTACACTAATTGTCTCCAAATGTTATTGTTTATTGTTTGTTTGTATACACGTATAACTACATATTGAACTTGTTGTTCTGTTTAGGCTTTAGGATTATGAAGTGTTTGTGGTAATCTTACACTATCACTTGGTAAATCTGTTTTTAGTGACACAATATCGATTTCTTTTAGCTCCAGTATTGGTGGTTCATCAGACACCGGTTCGATTAACCTAACAACAGCTTATTGATTAACCGTAAATCAACAACAACAACACGACGTGAGGCCGCCGTTAGCAGATACACAGAGCACAGACACACTTTGTTGTGTAAAGGACACCGAGAGACTCACAACAGATTATTTTTCGTACCGCCAAAAGTGTTCGTCGAAAAACGGGCGAGGGATGACGTCACAGGCAGTTTGTAGTCCCAACCGCTGCGAGGAAGCGAGCACGAGCCGGAGTTTGTTGTTCAGAGGCTACAGACACAGAGTGACACCGACTGGCCGTCTGTGTTGTAAACAACAACAACAACAACAACAACAACAAAATAATCAATAAATAATGTGATTGTCGGTCGTGAACAGCAGCGATTAAAGACTAGCGAGAGAAAGCGACCGTTTATCTGAAAGGACCACACTAGGACCTAACGCTGTGGCCGCTACCATGGAAACGAGTCGTTATTACTCTCGAGCTTATAACGTTGTCCAGTTGAATGTAAACGTTATTTTTTAATCACACAAAACCCATTATAATGTGACATAAACACAGTTTGCTTTGCTCTAGCATTGTATATTTCAAGAGCATACCAAGAATTTGTTAATTTTCTGTCAGGCACTGCTATCCGAGCCTAACTTTGCCTCACATACAGTCTTAAATAGACGCCATAGTCGCTTTTAACTCGTCTTATTATCGCCAATCTAAAAGTAAACTCACTGTGTAACGTTATGCCGAGCGACTAGTGTAACTTTAGGTTGTCGACAGTGCTTCTACGGTGAACCTGCAGTGCTGTCAGAAGCTTAAATCATGTCTCGTCTCGTCAAGAAATCCCCGTCTCTTTGCACGGATCTCCCCCTGGACAACACTGATATTCGGAACAAGCTTCATTTGCTTTGGCAGCTGCTGAGATCTTGCTTTGGTCCGACTGGCAGACTGAAACAAGTTCACAACAACATTGGAGGACACGTTGTCACCACCTCCACCTCCTCAGTTCTCCTTCCAGCCATTTCCTCCTCACAGCCTTTCATCAATCTGATAAAAACCTCCATCCTCAACCACGTTTCTCGCTTCAGCGACTGCGGTTTGTTTGCTGCCATCCTCTGTTTGTCTCTTATTGAGCGAGCGAAGCGGTCTGGCCTCAGGGGAAGCGTGGCCATCAGTGTGAACAAGCACCTGCTGGGTCTCTGCACTGGTTACCTGCAGGGAGAAGACTGTGGTTGTAAAGTGAAGCTGGACTTCTGCAGCAGCCTGAGCTTGATCAAACTATCTCGCAGTATTATCTCCAGCAAACCAGCATGTGTGCTGACAGAGGCGGAGGCTGTTCACATCAGCAAGTTGGCTGTACAGGCTTTCTTGCTGACTGTTCCCTGTAACAGCCCAGGTATAGTCAGACTTGGTAAAATAGTGACTGTCTCTGTTGAAGGCCACTCTGTGCTCAACTCTGCAGTGTTTCCAGGTTTACTGGTGGACATGCCTGATGTCTTTGGGCTCAACAAGGTAGAGAACTTGCATTCAAATCCCCTGCGCGTGGTGCTGTTCAGTGCCTCTCTTGCTGGAGACCTTTCTGAGCTTGGAGACGGGATCATTGAGGTGCACCCAGGTGTAGACACAGACGCGCAGATCCTGGATCAACTCCTGGAGCTCGGGAAACGGGTGGTTGCAGAGGAGGTGAAGCTCTTTGTATGCCAGAAGGTCATACACCCAGTCCTACAGCAATACCTGAGGAGGCATGGGATCATAGTGATAGAGAGGCTGGGAATCAATGTCATGGAGCCACTTACTCAGCTGACAGGTATAGGCGTCTAAATGGCTGTTATTTTATATTAATATCATATGGATAAACTGTGTCAAGATCCCAAAGTTTCCATATATATTAAAGTATTGTATCCAACCGTGAAGATACTTAGATATATTAGGGGTCAGGGTAATTTAATGTGTGTAAGTATGTTTTTTGGAGCTCGTCTGCATTCTTCTTTATGTGAAATTGTGCATATTTGTAGTGTCCGAGGTACATTTTGTACTGATTTCTGTCCACTTTAATAAACAGGTGCTCAGCCAGTGGCCACATTACATACCACAATCCCAGCCAAGGCCTATGGGAAGGTGAGGGATGTCGATATTAGGCAGTTTGGATCCAAGACAATGCTGCATTTACACCCTCCTGGGGAGTCTGCGATCTGTACGATGATCCTCTGCCACAGGAACGAGACAATGTTAAGTGAGCTGAAGGTGAGATGAAGTGGGGTGTGTTGGAACTGTAGACATTTGATTAATAATATATGGCCCCATAAAGCCCAATTGGTAGAGCGGTGCACTAACACAACCAGGGGAAGAGATTCAGTTCTTCTAGAGCACTTTTGATACAACCATCCATCAACTTGCATCGGATATTTTTTTTAAAAAAGCATAGAAATGGCACATCAGCTTGGAAGTAACTGATTTCCCGTCTTGTTAAAGGTGGTGTGCCAGAAGACGGAGCATGTGTTGAGGCTCACCCTGAGGGAACCGTCCGCCTTACTTGGAGGTGGGTGTACTGAGACCCACTTAGCTGCTTACGTCAGACACAAGGTGAGATACAGTTTAAAACCAGTCCAGATTTATTGATTCCACATATATTCACAGCAATCTCATTACAACATGTATTGATTGTGCCATATTTTTAGAGCATGAATGAAGTCACAGAGACGGCCTCTGCACTGGGGTGCACACAGACAGAGTACTTTCTTGGCGTGGAAGGATTCTGCCGCTCTCTGGAGTCTGTGGCCGCGGCGCTGGAGCACGACGGTGGGAATTGTTTAATCGACCTGACTCATGCTCACCACTGGACTCTCCCTGCAGATGTCATAACAGAACACATGGAGGATAGCTTGGGCCTCTGTGGCTGTGGAGTAATGCAAAGTAGCCCAAACAAGAAGTGGACTTATCTAAGCACTAAATACCCCCAGTTCTCACCTGCACCCCTGTCGAGAGACACTACTGTGCAGCCACGTGTGCTTGACTCCTTCACAGCTAAACTCAATGCTTTACAAGTCGCTGTAGAAACTGCTAATCTTGCACTGGATGTGCGATATGTAATTCAAGATACGAACTAGCAGAATAGGCATTTTATCCAGTGGGGTACTCTGAATTTTCATAATAAATGTAATATTCACTTCAGACACTAGATGTTAGCATTGCCTTGAGTGAAAATCGGACAGTCAGTGTGAATGTATTGCCTCTATCCTGTTGTTGTTGTTGTCATGTGATTTACCTCTTTGGTAAGTCGTTGATTTATTGTCCTGCTTGTCAGTAATATTACAAACAAATACTGATTGTTTTTCTTTCTTTTTTTAACCTTTTTGTGAATTTTCCACACAATAACACACAATTTCTAAAGGAGCTTTAAATGATGTTTGCAACAGTTTACAAATTCAGCGACCTAAAAGAATTTCTAATGAAGTTATCAAACAAAGCCTCACCCTTTTTTTTTTTTAATTACTTTGTGTTCTATCCAAAATGTTACTTGTCTAAACCTGCTGATTGGTAAGAAACTACCTGACTGATCTATGCAAATACAAACAGCAGACAATCAAATATTCCACTGTAATGACTTATTTTTCACAATGTTTTATGTTAGACAGTGTCTGATAAAATCTGGACCAAGTTACATTCAGTGTAATGAGATGTGTTATTTGTTATATATACTGTGTTGCAGGTTGTATATTTAGTATTTGCATAAAAATAAACTAATTCTTGTCAACAAATCTCTTCTGTGTGCACAAAGTTATTCTATCAGTGTCTTTTTCCAAGTTTCTACTATAGCACTTTGTATAGAAAGAGCTGAACAATCAACAATATGTACAGAACTATATGACTGCAAGCAAAACCAAAACAGATTCTTGTGCAGTAAAATGAATGTCGTTTAAAAATACAGTAATAGGAGTGCACATTCCTGTGCTCCTCTTCTGCTGTTGGTTCATTGTCTGCCCTCAGAAGATGACAGCCAGGTGTTTTTCCTCTCAGAAGATGAATGGAATCAAAGCCTTTCGCAGCCTGGGATAGTCTTTGAATTTCTCCCGGTAGAACCTGCAACAGAGGAGCAGAAGGATAACATCTGTCACTCAGAAATGGAAATCTCATTAATAATGTAGGTAAATTCATTCATTCTGTGTCAGGACTGCTTTGCTTTTCATTAATGTCTCAGGCACCTGTGATGGTAATAGGCTCTTGGTCCAATAAAACACAGGCTATACACAGCAAACGCGAGCGCTGGAAAGGACCAGGTGGCTACAGCATAGCCAGACCACTCCACTATCTCCCCTAAGTAGTTGGCAGCAGACACATATTCAAACAGACCGCCTGCAGGAGATTAAGGAGACCACGGGTCACTACGAGCACAGAGTCAATGAGAAGTTATTCAAGTTTGATTTTTGTTTCTTACCTTTAGGGATCTTGTAAATTACTTCCCCCTGTTTCCTCAAGTTACGTAGAATATAGTCACTATGTATATTGATGGCCATTCCGACAAAAAACAGCAGTAAACCTAAACGAAAAGCAATTAAAATGTATGAGACATATAAAATGATAGAATTTCATTTCATTAAAAAACCTTAAAGCACAAAATAAATATATCTCCTACCAGTTATATAGCGATAATCAGCTGACCATTCATCATCAAACTGGGCACAGTGCAGCAGGTAGTGGCCCTGCAGGAAGCCATTCAGAGAGCAGAAGAAACCTGCTGCCCCCATCACACCCAGTGGGAAAGGCTTCCCTCTTGTCAGTAGTGAATAGACAAATGTCCTATGATTGGTGAAGCAATAATAGATACAGCAGGTGGGAAAAGGGAGGAGGATAATAATGCATTTTATCCACACTAGTACGTGCAAATTACATGTTTTTTTCACATGGAGAGATTTTGTAGAAATGATTTAGCGTTTAAGTGCAGGCACACACAAAAAAGGTACCATTAAGCCCTATTCTTCATGGGAGGTTACCAATGCATTCCTCACAGTGTTTTAGCCTTCAGATTAAAGCAGCAGGAAATCTAATTTACAAAGCTCATTTTTCTGAAAATGTGTATTTTGGCTCTTGCTTTTACTTAAAAAGTGGCTGCACAGTGTACATCTATCTACGCTAAAAAATGATGCTAGAAAATACAATAATGCCATATTTTTGTCGTTTTCTGTCAGGAAGTACAAAATGTTAGAAGGCAATCATTACTGCTGTATATTAAGAACAGGAGCTTTAACTAAAAAATGCATTCAGTTTGTCCTTTTCCACTGGCGGATCAGTGCCATAATAAACCAAAGAAAAATGTGTCTTCTATAATGAATAAATGAATTCATAGAGTACCCATATATTACAAGTATACCTTTAATGTTCATACACAAACAGGCTAAGTAAATACTAGGCAAACATAACAAAATACATATAAGATATAATACTTTAGGTATAAGACTATATAAAAGAAAACCTCTAACAAAATACACAAGGAGAAACTATAAACCTCATCCAACCAGAGTAAATAACAAATTAAATGAGTAAAATCTATCCTGCTGACAGGTTCATCTTGTAGTTTCTTGCATTTCGAATGAATGGGGGGATTTTACCTTTGAAAGTAGTGCATGCAGAAGGTCCCAAGCAGCAGGTACTTCCCCATACTGGAGGGTTTGTGGGAGGTGAGCATTAAAAGTAGGGGAATCACGAGAGCTGGCATCTCCTGAAAGAACCAGGCTAGTCTGGCTGGGACCGTCTGAACCGGAGGAGAGAGTCTCATGTGGCGCCCATAGGAGGACTGCGTCTTCTTGTGTTGGACCAAATACCCCAGTCCTGCCAGGATCATCCCACAGCTGAGACAGTTAACCAAATCCCCATAGCAGTGCATCTCGCAGGTCTCTGCCTCAGGGTCGGCGAGTGTTGCAGTGATCTTTTCCTGCTTATAAACTAATGTTAAGCCTCTGTGTGAATGTAAATTGATGTAAACAGCCTCTCTGACTCCTCCCAAAGCAAAGAGGAGGAGAGAGAGAGAGAGAGAGAGAGAGAGAGAGAGAGAGAGAGAGAGAGAGAGAGAGAGGAGGTGTGTCAGTCTGCTGTGAAACATGAGAGTGCTCCCTTTTTTCAGTGTGGTATAAACATTGCTGGAGGTCAGTATGGATCATAATTGTCCTCTCCACCATGGAATGTACGTGCTGATGTTCAAAAGCTGAATTTCCCAAAGCTATAATAGGAGTGAACAGAATTACATGGAATATTATAATCACCATGAACGCAGTTGCTTGCTTGCTTGCTTGTGAAACCTCCTCTGCCTGTCCACACACAGCAACATCCACATCCACCTCAAACGATGTAGTTCTGTTTAAACTTGCAACATTTGACTTAGGTGTGTGAGTAAATGTGCAATGTAACTTTAAGCTGTATAATGCTGCGTAATGTAGCTTTTTCAGTCCTACTCCTCACCAACAACTGGGTAGAATAAGGGCCGAGAGAACTTGCTAAGACTCGCCATGACTTCACAAGAAAGTCCAGATGCAGCCACAAATTCTGTTTACATTTTTACCATAAATGTGTCTGTAGTTTCAGGAATTATAACCTCATCATCATATCAGTGCTATATATTATCAGTAGAGGTTTATTACAGTATTCTCAGTTAAACTTCCTTGTTTTTGGTTTTACATGTCTAACCATTTCGGAGGATGTGGTACTGTTTAATTATATTGTGTTTAAGGAAATTAATATGATCATAAACTTTAAGCCTAATGATCTCAGTCTAAGATAGGAAAAGGAGTACTTCTATAGATCAACAGTAACCTGTTCTTCCTGATCTTAGCACCGACTGGCCTTAATCACTTATTGAAAACATTACACAACTGAATATTGCTGGATGAGAAAATTTGGAGAATATACTCAAGATTCTGTATTTTGTAGACTGTTTATGCATAAAATGAAAACTGAACTAGTGCTGTGTTTGACATACATTCATCCAACAAGTCTCCAACATATTCCGTTAACTAAGATATTTGTCGTTAACTTCAGCTGAGGACGCTTGGAAAGGCGCCAGCTTGTGGTCAGCCTTGTTGTATAGCCTCAAGCATGTTTTCCTGGCATCTGAATCCATAAATCAAGTGGCAGATGCGGTAGACATATTTTCTTAACAAAGTCAATAATCCTGTTTGTAATTAGAAGTCAGTGGTTAGAACAAAGAAAAAGTGAGGAGTTGGAAATAAAGTAGGTCAAACTCACTTCCCAGTTTATTAAGTACCCACAGCTAAAACTAAGAAAAATAAATCCTATCTTCCTGTAGATAATAATGTGTTTGAGAGGAATGAAATGTATGGTCATTTTGGAGGATGTGGTACTGTTAAACTGTATTATCTTACACTGACAGATGTTTCTTTTATTTTGTCCACCCCATCAATATCAGTGAGAGTAGGTTAAATAACAAAAACACCCATTGCAATCATGAAGGTCAGATTTACTGCAGGGTCTTATATTAGACTGCATTTGTTTTAGTTCTGTGAACCTAATGAACTAGTAACTGACTGTGTATGCGTAGAATATACAATAGACCTTTTTCACAGCAGCCATTTTGACGTGAAATAGTAGGGTAAAAAGGTGTTACCAATGACACTAATAAAGGTTTTTCCATTTGGGTCAAACAAGAGGCACAGTGCTGCTGTTGTGGCTCACTGGAAGGACTCTGCTACACTAAATGGAACAGGACCTTAATTAGTATCATTCGTAACACCTGTTTTTACCCTAAAATGGCCGCTGTGAAAAAGGTCCATTACTATCTGGACAGTTTTTAGTTCCTGACATGAAGGAACAGTGTGTTCATTTTACTATATTCCTCCAACCACCTGGCTCCCTCTGCTGGTGACATTTCTTACAGCGTTCACATAAATGTTAGTGTCATCTGCTGCAGTGCTAAAAGTAAAAACAGAAGTAGGGCTGCACGATACAGAAATAACAAAAGTCATATTGCAATTATTTTGAAAGATATTGTGATATAATTCATAATAAGGGAATAATCAAAATTTTAATTTTCACTGAAAGAAAACCTTAAAATTATGATTTGTTAGGATTTACACCAAAAGAACATGTTTTCTTACATCTGGAGGATAAGATTTGTAGGCCAGGACATCTCTGCAGAACTACACTACTTCATTATAATGATTTTTTGACACATATTTACCCTTTTCAAAAAAATTCCAGCTTCTACAACTTGGATATTTCACTTGGCCATACTGAGATTTAGATAATTCGATTAATTGTGCAGCCCTAATTAAAAGAGACTAATTCATCGCAAACTGTGAAAGAATAAACAACACATTCATGTGCATACACATATTTAAGTCAATAGATTTCTGTGTGATTGTAAATACTTGAAGAACAAGACACCAGAGCAGACATGCTTTTGCAGTATATTTTACTTGTTTTGAAACATGAATCCACGGCTTTATCTGAAGAGCCTTTTGGGATGCTTTGTCAGTGGAACCTGAGATAAAAATAACTCCATTTAGGGAGTAGTTAAGTAGTATATTTTAGGTTTGTGATGTGTAAGTTCCTATTCTCTAAGCAAGAAAAAAAATAATACAAAAACAATTTCTAAAAAGACAAACAAACATCCATAAACAGAAAATGAACAGTGTTGAGGTTCAGCCTTTTACTCTCTACAGGAATGAGGTGACGTGGAGCAAACAGAACACCACTCCCTGCTGGAGAAAGGGTTAACAGTTGGTGCCATTTTAGACCAACAGATGAGGGGGTACAGGTCACACACTCCAGGAGTGTTAGGTGAGCTGGAGACACTGTCGGGCACGAGGCAAAGGGAAGGGTAACGTGGGAAAACAAAAATTTAAAAAGTACACATTCTAAAATAAGACTAAAAGTGAGAATACGCAGTAAATGTATATGTGCAACAGTGATAAAAAGGCACAATAGCACAGTGTGTCATGCTCTACTAGTTTCCCTTAAATTAACGTCAGTCTGTGCCCACTTGGTTCAACCAGACATTGTAGCTTAATGCTAAGTGCGACGCCTCTTATGGTGCTGAGAGGGATGTTAAAGGACTGCATCATTTAAGTGGGAATACTTGACTCCAGCAACAAAAGTCAGTCAGTGATATTAAAATATCAAACGACAGGACAGCAGACATTGTGTGCTGCCTATATCATATTGTCTTTAAAAGCCTATACTGCCACTATGAATCATCAGGTTTTGTATGCAGTTGGGTAATCTATGGAGGAGTATTTCAGGCAGCCGGACTACATTACACTACAAACATTCTTTTTTTGTGTGTTAATAATTTTCAACCTCATGCAAATATTCATATATTTTTATTTTTTTATTTTTTTTAAACAGAATCAGATCCAGTAAATCCAAAATACAGCAAGGATCATCTGTCATTTTTATGGGTAGATTCTTAAACCTTTCAGCAAAGCATTATGACTCCAGCCATCTATTCTATTGTCAATATTTAGCAAACCTTGCCTAATTTATACCCCTTCTGCCTCAGGAGTAATTCTGAAGGGGGTTCTCATACACTGAGAAGCAACAAAACTGAAACGCAAACCTTTAAATAAGGGGGAAAGAATTAAATCTTCCCAATAACGTTTGGCATTCTTAAATCAAAAATGTAAATTATTACCTAGAGAATGGCTATAATAACCTATATTTAACCAGACCATCTAGGCCTCTACAACTTTGCCACTTTTTTCAGGCCTAAGAAAAAGCTTTGCTGCTCTTACAGAACTGAACGTGTAACTAAAGACAAACAAGTCTTGCTCGGGTCTCAATCCAATAACTACAGATTCAAGGTGGCAGTGTAAACAAAGACTAGAAGTGTCAGTGTTGGAGTAATTTACACAATATCCAGCTTTGATTACATTGCTGTAGTAGTAGTCTGGCTCTTGCAAAACAGATCTATAATGCTACAGGAACATAATTGAAATCTGGGAGCAGTGTTGCGCACACTAATGTGTTGGGCGACCCATGTTGATGGCTTTAGAGCATAACTGACAACACCGCTTTTGTTCAACTCTATATACTACTTGAGTAAATAATCACATCTAATAAAACTATTTTTAAAAAAAGGGAGAAATAAAAAGGAATAAAATATGAATAAAACATAATATTTAATAAACTGAGTAATAAAGTTTTTGGTTTTGTACAGTAGGGGGTTAGTGAACTTTGTTGGGTGCAGCCCTTTGTTAGCAACTACAACATATGTTGAGCAATGGTATTCATTACCTATGACACGGTTTTCAAAGTTTAAGTCGCATGTAGCTTGAAGCAGTCAGTCAAAACACTCATTTCATTTTCATCTCGCAACATTTCAATATTCGCATATTAAGATCTGCAGTTTTATTTTCATTCCTTTTTCTGCTGCAAATTACATGAGCACAGATCTCCAAGTCCAAACGTGAAGATTGCATCATTACAACTCAAATCCATCGGTTTGTCAGTAAAACAAAGAGAGACTAAGAGGACAACTACAGTCCTTGCAAAAACCCAAATAAGATTCCCCCCTCCCAACGCTTAATCCAAGCCAAACTAATACACACTCTTCCCACCTATCTCCTCTGATCATCTGCTCCTACATAATCTCAAAAACTGCACTTCAAACTAAATGTTTCAACCAAAAGCTCTGAGACCCACTTCAAACTGAGAGGAGGGTGGAGAAAGGCGGAGGAGAGCTGAGAGAGAGAGAGAGACAGAGAAAGAAGACTGTATTGGCTTCGAGTGTCTAGGTCCTTCCTGCAAATAGTGGGCGTAACTGGGGGGGGTGGTAGGGTGAGAGGGAGGGTGTCTGGGTCAGGTTATGGCGATAGATAGTAAGGGCAGGGTGACGGCGCTGCAGTGGCCCCTGCGAAAGTCGACCTCAATGAACGATGAGCGCCCCAGCAGCGTAACTCACGGAGCTGTCCTGCCAGTTCCTGCACTCACTCGACTGGGCGTAGTTCAGGAAAGAGAAGTTCATTTCTAAACCAGACTTCCTCAGCTCAGCCACAGCCTGCAACAAAGCAACACCAGTAACAACCACTTAGTCACGATTCACACCATGAACCACACACAAAGAGTGTCCATTCTCATGAAAGGAGGTGTATTATACAACTAACAATTGAGTTTTTTTTTACTATTCTACATTGCCAATTGACTGTTCACTACACCCCTCCTCCGGACAGTGATTGTCCAATCATAGCTAAGCAACTGTAACTACACATAGGCCTATCAGGCTTTGATATCACCACGTGCTGAAGCAGTGTGCATGAGGATGCAGTAAGAACGACACATGTATAAAGAGTTTGGAGGGTGGTGTTTTAATTGAGCCTTTACAAAAACACACACACAAAAAAAAAAACAGTCTGCTTTAATGCATGCTACAATCATACACAAATCTTCTCATAGAGGTTACTGACAAAAAGTAACTAATTGGGCCAGAGCTTAGCGATCAGTGAATTGACCGCCCATCAACGTATCTACATACCGACACAGACGGTGAGGCTCTTCTTCTGTGGTACTTACATTTAGCAGCACTCCAATCGGGTGACGCCCACAGATGGTGTTGCGGTACTTCTTCAAGTAGTTGGTGAAAGACATGGGATCCAGCTGTTCTATAATGCCCATCCCCTTCACAGAGAAAAATGGGTCAGAAAACTCCTCGCCTTTACAAGACATTGATTTTTATGGGTAGCATTTTCAACCTGCTTTTCTGTGCCATAATCGTTTGATTCTTATATCATGTTTCAAAGCTTGATTTATACTCAATTGTTATGTGATCTCTAGAAAAGTTTTATTTCCTTAAAATACCAATAATAGCTGCATGTTCAAGAAAACACAGCTTCCTTATCACAAGAAAACAAACTTCATGGTCACGAGAAAAACAAGAATCTCTATCCTCTATGCCCTTCTATATTTTACCCTCCTGAAGCGGTATATTGTAACAGAATACATTATAGTATTGTATAATAGTCACATTAAGAGCACATAACATATTCAAAACGCATTATATGAGTATAAAAAATGGGTCTGGCTCATTGTGACACAAACGTCTATTTAATGTGTACTTCATTACCATAACAGCTGTGCATGCAGCTGATAATCAAAATATCTCAGTGGTTACCATTTTATCAAGATGCTCGATAGACCTGTAGATCTCCCCTTGAGATTCATCATAGTATGTGTAGCGGAACCGCTGACCTTCAAAAGAGAGACGGACATCAGTACAAAGCTGGATACGGTCATGTCACGGTTATGACATTTAGGCCGAATTGTCCTCAGATCACAAAACTATTCTATTAACGGCAGAATCATCTCACAGAATGGGTTTTTTATTTTTCGGTACCTACCCCAGTGGCAGAAGTCAGATGAGATAATGAAAAGGTTGGAAGGGTCTGCCAGGTACTTGCTGAGCAGCTTCCCATATTCCTGTTCCTTAGACTCACTCAGGGCACCAACAAGCACAGGGACGATGCTAAACTCGTCTTTGTGGCTGCAACATCAGATTATTGAATGAACACACTTGAGTAAAATAACAGCAGCTCACTGCCACAGTGGAAATAACTTCTGCATTAATACTTTTTTATTTTTAGCATCTATCAGTGAACACTAACGAGAAACGCCTATTGCATGATAAGCCGACACTGGTGAGTTGCACCTTTATACCCTATAACAACACCACAGGCTTTAGTTAGACTAGTATGGAGGATATGCGTTGAGCTAATATGCTCAGTTCACTTCATACTACCTGATCCCTGCTTTTCTGAACCAAGAATACGCCTTTAACTCCTGCCAACCGAACAGAAGGCTGTATCAATTATGCATATCTCACTTTCCATGTGTGCCTGCACCAATGTCATTCCGGTTTACAGCGTATAGACATTTTGTTAATGAAAAGAATGTACAGAAGTAAACAAACTTGTTTTGTCAGTAATAGTTAAAGCTTCCCTGTGTTTTCTGACATCTAGTAGTGACACTGAGCGTTTTTTTCTATCAGTGTGTCCCTGTTTTGTTTCTTTTGTGCATTGTGCAGGAAGACATGATACACATTCCTGCCAATGGTGACACTATATCACTCATCTACAGATGGCAGTAATTTGCCAAAATGTGCTGCAATGTGCCAGCGAAGACGAGAAAAAACACAAGCAAGTAAACACTGACTACTGACTACTACTAATAAAAGTAGTTAAACATACTTATATAAGACAGAATAAGTATTTTATGAGGAAGGCAGTATATTCAACACATTTGTTAGAGAGCGAGGATACACACAATGCGTTTTGGGGCCTAACACTAAAATTAAACTCTTGTCTGTTTAG